TATATATATATATATATATATATATATATATATATATATATATATCCTTTATTGTCCCCCAGTATGGAGTTACAAAGTCATTACAATTCTTCTCCACGTTACCTACACACACACGCTCCGCACCTTACTCTTACAACTAAACTTACATCTAATTCTTACAACTAACTTATACCTGACTTACATATCTAACTTAATCTAGCTTAACTAACGCATGGACCTCCGTTTCCGTCGTTCCTTTCTTTCTCTCTCTCTCTCCCATTCACTCAGTTCCCTCCCCTCATACCTCAAACCTTTTCATTTACTCCCCCCTCCCCTCCCTCCCCATTACTCCTCATACATCTCATATGTTCCCAGCTCTCCACATCACTCTTATCATTCACATATCCTGCATCTTCTCTCCTTTCTCATACATCTCTCCCACATATATTCCTAGCTCTCCATATCTATCTCACTCTTATCATTCACATATTCTGTATCTCCTCTCCCTCCCAATACATACCTTCCCTTATCTCATTTCCTACTTTAAACCTGATCACTTTCCTCCACCTTTCTTTCGCCCATCTCTTTCCCAAGTATTCTGCTATCCTTTCTACTTTTAGAAACTGATACCATTTATTGATTCTTGACTCCTTAATCTTTTCCCCATCTCTCTTTCTTTTGCATCTCCTTCTGTCTCTCCTCTAACTCATGTCCCTCCTCCTCCTCTTCCGCTACCACGTACATATATATATATATATGTATATATATATATATATATATATATATATATATATATATATATATCAGCAGAATCAATTTAGACTAATTTTTTAGTCTAATCAATTTAAACTAGTTTTTATTTATTGCTCATTTTTTATTTAAAAATTGTCAAAGAAAAAAAATTATTCTGCAAGTTTTTTTTTTTAATATTCTGCTAAAAGAAGATAAAGTTAGTGAAACAATATATATGTAACAATAAAATCAAACATTCAATAACATAGGAATTTGTTGCTAACTTATTGCTCAAAAAATATGCTAGTCTCACATTTGTTGTTCGCAAGATCAATTTAAATAATAACAGGCAGATTTTCAACATGTATGAAATTACAAGAATAAACCATCAGAAACAAATTTGTTGCTCGCTTGAATTTGCTCCTGGTGTATTGTTTGAATTTGTTGCTCTGGATATATTCAAATTCTGAATTTATTGTATACGTAATATGTTTAATGTACGAAGTTACAAGAGTATACACACACACACACACACACACACACATATATATATATATATATATTTGAACATTCTCTCTCTCTCTCTCTCTCTCTCTCTCTCTCTCTCTCTCTCTCTCTCTCTCTCTCTCTCTCTCTCTCTCTCTCTCTCTCTCTCTCTCTCTCTCTCTCTCTCTCTCTCTCTCTCTCTCTCTCTCTCTCTCTCTCTCTCTCTCTCTCTCTCTCTCTCTCTCTCTCTCTCTCTGTGGTTTTACTTAAAAATAGTTTTACTTGAAATA